TCTCTCTCTCTCTCTCTCTCTCTCTCTCTCTCTCTCTCTCTCTCTCTCTCTCTCTCTCTCTATCTATCTATTTATCTATCTATCTATCTCTATCTGTCTCTTTCTCTCATTGTACTTACGAGCTTCTTTTTCGTATTTGTGGCGGCCGCGTCGATTCTTGCCGACAGCGTCGCGTGCAGCGGCACGTTAACTGCATCGTTGTAAAGCAGATTTCATTTAAAGAGGCACAACGGAGGCGGAAAGGCTGTAAGAAAAAGAAGAGATACACGAAGAACGCATGTGGCCCAACTATGTAATTTTCATTCGCACTCGTGGCTACGTTTAACCGCGACCGGGGCGAAATAACACTTAATGGAATACCTATACAGGGTGATTCACGGTTAAGTCAGAAAGCTACACATGCAAATTCTAAGTAAAGATAATGAAAATATTAGTAAATGCATAATTTCTAGTTCGAAGAGAATTAGGTTATTTAATAGAATAAATTTTGTCTGATATCAAAATCTCTTTTCTTCCCGCCAACACATTTATAGTCTCATAAAAATTTAGTAAAAATTAAAATTAAGTTAATTTTTAGATAGTCTTTAGTATATCTTTTAACAATGACGGATTTATAGTGACACTTTTGGTTGCAAAGAATTTTGATAATTAAGGGTTTATTAATTACTCTAATTCATTAATTTTTTAAATGACAATAGAAAAAGACACCTTCATGATTAACAATGTCATGCTGAATAAGCATTGCAGAGAATTTAAACGTTTAATATTTATTGTTTGTTATTTCCAATAACGAGAGGTCTTTTGTATTTTTTAAACTTTTGTTATCTTGAGTTATCTTAATTATAAACAATTAGCAAAATTTGATCGTTTCTTTTGGCTTGTTTCTGTCTCGGTTTGTCATTCTTCACTGTCGATGTTAAACAAAAGTTTTCGATCCAGCTGTGTATCGCCCTGTAGGAAAGTTCGACTAACCAGTATACCGGCGAACGAAGGTGGGACTGTTGCAAGTTGAGAGTCGCAACCGGATATTCTTTTCGATTTTAGTATCATTGGCGGCAAATTAAAAGCCGGCCCTCAAAGGTCGGGATTGTGAGAGCGGTGCGTTGTGCACGCAAACGAATTCTAAGTCGATGAAGTGCACTTGGTGAACGAATACGCGCGAGATGCCTGCGGCGTCGTTATTCACAACCATGCAACGCTAAATGCGGCTGTCCGATCCTCGTGTCTTGTTAACCTCGAACTTCCATCTCCGTTTCCGTCGAATAAAATCAGACTTATTGTTAGCGTAAATGTGCAGTTAAATAGAAATAGTATTATTAGTCTCGAACACTGACATAAAGCTTTAGTTTTTCTTTTATTTCTTATCAAATTTTTAATATTAACGTTGTACGTAAAGTATATTTTGCATATATAGAAACTGAAAAGTTATTTTATCTCCAATAATTATTTCGATCTCATTACAATGGTTTTCGATTATTAAAAACAATTACACTACCAACGTACGTAAAATCCTAAATTTTATATTAATAGTTGTCTTAGTAGCAGATTCGTTGCTTTGATATATAAAAGAGATTTAATAGTTTGTTGATGATAAAAATCGAAAATGATGTAGCAAAGGTTGTCCGTGGCCTTGAGATAGAATATGACAGAATAGAATTGGATTTTTCTTTTACAGTGCACTCGTCTCGTAATGAAGATCGTGTCGAACATCTGTTATAATAAGCTCGATATATCACACGTTGTACGAAGATCACCCCCTCGTGATTTATTACACATTATATCTGAGCATTATCGGACTGCGCATCGCGCGGCTTCAACGCGGCGCCTCAAATGACGTCCATCAAGAAGCGATAATTAAAAAGAAGAGAGTTTAAATCGCCTGGACGTGCACGAGATCGGCCATCTGCTTCGCACGATTAGAATAAGAATGGGGTAAGTCATGCTTACTATGAAATTTTGCTATCGAAGCGTGGTGGAATCGAATGAAAGATTGTATTCGTAACCACTTGTATCCACTTAATTTCTGGCAATTGAAAAATGAGAGTTAAACAAATTTATACAGAAATTGTCCGTTTTTCCAGTAAAATTATCATTTGTTTATTTTATAATCTCTCCTGCTATAATTAATTATAATTCTAAAGAAATTTTTCTATTTAAAAATCTATTTGAATAGAAATTAACCAACGTAACAATTTTTCTCTATCTAATCTTTAAGATAAACATTTAATTTTTTTCTTTATGGTTGGAACCATTTAAAGACTCACGCGTCAACCTTGAGAAAGGATTTAATTTAATTTTATCGTGACGATTACGCTGATTCCACGATCATTTCTCTTTCATAATACTCTTTTTATTAGGTATTTCTTTTAGTTTGATTAATTCATACTCTACCGTATTTAATTTTTAAAATAATTTCTTAACAAAGTTTTTATTGTAATTTTTTAATTCTAATTATTATATCAGATCACTGAAGAAGACCTGAACATATTTTTCACGTTTAAACCACGCACTGTGTTCCGCGTTTATTGGCTCACATTGGCCTTCCCTCATCGATTCTTTATTTAATTTTTTATAATTTGTTACTCTACAAATTATAACTACTTCTTAATTAAAGAAATTTTTGCTAGAATTTAGGAAAATCTTTTATTAAAATTTTAATATCAGACGACACTTCTTACAAACAACATTACGAACTTAAAATACTTTCAAGATTCATTTGAATTTATTTTCTATTTATTTTCGAAAAGTTATTCATCCAAAAATATACGTGCAATTTAAAATGTCCAATTTATTCATTTTTTATTTACGCGAGCGTCGTTGACATAATTGCTAAGCTAAGAATATGAAAGAAAAAAAGAATTCATTGCGCTGTACATAACAATGCATTTTGACTCCGATGCGTCTGCCATCACGCGACTCGAGCATTGAACAAGACTCCGCTGCAACTGAGAGAGAGGCTAGCCTCTTCTCTCCAGAGAACATATTTCTTTGATTTTGATTTTTGTCCCGCCTCACCACCCCTTTCACCTCTCTTTTCCCCTTACCCGTCAAGAGCTCAAGACCGGTTAATCCAGATTAACTTTGAGCTCGAGCACATATACGCATACGTGGCAGTGCACGTATCGTATATATTGATAGATATATGAAGTGTAAAAGTTTCATGTTTGTCTAGACAAATTCGTACAGCTTTTACTACTCGTGAAAAATTCTTACAGTCTCATACTTGTTTTACGAAAGTGCTTTAATCGCATTATTCAAAGAGATTATTGAAATATAAAAATGATATTTTATTGCTAAAATTTTGGACTTGATGGCAACTAGTCTAATACCATGTCTTATAGATTTGCACTCGTATGCTATTTTAATACCATACAAATAACAATTATGCTAAATTACTTAAAATTTTTTTTTATATACGAAGAGATTACGTAATAAGTACAATATTATATTAGTCTCAGTTTTATATTGTCTAATCTATACATATACAAAATATATTTGCCAATAATATACATGTATAATATTATGATAATTACATTATACATGTAGGTATTTATTATGAAGCAATATTTTCCTTGATTGTTTTTTATATACCTAATGTTGCGTGACAATTGCGATCATGAAGCAAATTTCTCTATAATTTTAATGATTTTGATGGAAATAACTTTCTATTACATATCTTTACATAATGTTAATAAAATTAAGGCAACCTAGATTAATTTATTTATAAACGTCTTGCTTTCTGCATTTCATACGAAAATACTTTATTACACGCATAAAAAGAAACGAAAAAACGTGACTACGAACGATGTCCTCGAATACAATTCTGTACTTTGCAAATTGGTTACGTGCATCGCTCGTCACTCACGGATGCATCAATTTCTGCATCCCTGACCCAAGTTTTACACCAAATGACGCACATTGTAACACTCAATGCGCTTTAACGAGAATAACGTGTGCGACGGTTGGCCGCGAGGGTAGGATACTTTACGTACAGGTCCGTGGAAGCCGGTAACGCGATTACGCGAGATCCCGGCGAGATCTGATCTCGACGACGGGATTAAAGGCAATCGCGAGGCGATCGAGAACCGCCATTGGGTAATAAATGCGGCACATAATGAACCGCCTTTATCTAGCGAACTCGTTGAAAGCCGCCGCCGTTCGTGAATGTAAATTTATTCTCCGTGCGTAACACTTTTGCCCCCAAGGATAGCGCAAGTGCGGCGGAATCTCGTTTACATTGGACACACTACAATGTCCAGACGCCGAATGAAACGTATTACTACTTAAAAATTTTGCGGCGTCATACCATACAATTTTTGCAACGAAATATAAAAATGACCGACGATGAAATACAGTGATTTACAAAATTGATGAAATGTACTACACAGTTTAAACAGTTTACAAAAAAATTCTTTTAAACCAGACAAGGCGTTTCTTATAGATTTTTGGATGCTGAAAATGGATGTCGCAAGCCAAAATTCATTAGCTCGTCAGATTTCGCTTATCGTTAGATAATTAAGGTTTAATACGTTAAAAATGGCTTTCTCGCGATATTTGAAAGCTTTTTGTAAGAAAGAGTAACGTTACCTTTCAAGATGTTCGATATAAGCAAAGTAGATATTACAGAATATGTAATTTACATCCATAGTTACACGATGTTTATAATAATTTAAATAGGATTTTGACTTTGATGAGAAATGAAGACGCACGAGTCTAAACGCCAATCCAGCCATTTATTTTTCAATATACCTATCGAAAATTTGTTAACTTTCGTTATGCATGGTATCCGCTGTAATAAACTTGCTGTACAGAGATAACAGACGTGAACGCATAAAGGACATGTGCATCTGTCAAGTGTGTACCGAGTTTAAACGAGCCCTAGAAGCGCGCATAATTTAGTTGCACTGATATGCATTCATTCGCGAGACACACGCTACTTCTCATGATGAAACAACGAGCCTGTTCAGGATCACCATTTAGGGATGAACGGCGGGGCAATGTAGCTCTCTCGAGCTCACGGCGGTCACCAAAACCTGTCCGACACTCCGAGTGACTTCGACATTTTTCACGGATCGTCTTCGATAGCGACCCACGCGCCCGAGCTACGTCCAGTTCTCGAAGTGGACCTTTTCCAAGGTCAGTGACGTGTGGGCCGCTAGAGAGAGCACTGACGAAGTGCACTTTGTTGCGAAAGCACTTACGAACGTCGCGCACGTCGCATAACGTTTTGACATCGCGAGTGCAATCTCCGGCTTGCGATGAGATTTTTCGCGTTAAACGACTATTTCATAAAAATTGCACCATTTCATACAATCGGCTTAATTAATTTTATGTGGTGACATGGTGACGTATCCTCTTGAGGATATGTACGTAGTTGTGAAAAATTTATCCAATGTTGTATGCACTGTATATAATATTTGAAACATTTAATTCTTTAATATACATCTTGGTAACTAAAGGATAAATCAGATTTTAAGTTGAATTACAGGTTTAAGGAAATGTTGAAAACGCGACAACGAAAACGTGATTTTTAATATGTTTTATGTATATCTGCTCCTAATTCTGAATCAAATTATGAATCAAAATTTTGCAAAGCTATCTTTCACGTTATCATAAGAAGTACAAAGAGTAAATTCAATTAAATAATTTATGTCATCAATTAAAATATTTTCATAAATACAGAAAGTGATTATTAATTAGTTCATTTAAAAATGCTTTGAATAAACACAGCGGAAAGAGAGAACTAATCTTTTGCAAAAAAAGGGTTTATTTCTCTGTTATTATCTGTGCATTTTTAGTTTTGAATTATTTATTTACACAGCTAGACAAAATGATTCTTTGGGCGATAATTTCCGCTAAAAATCTCCCAATTGTTTTAAACGTTCAAAGATTAACAACCGATACATGCGATACAAACGAAGAGAAAACTCTCATACATACATAATTGAAAATTGAAAGCGAGAAAATTAAACGCGATTGAAATCTCCCCGACACGTTGGTTAAATCAACTGTTACCCTAATGTGCTTCGAGTGTGTTCATGCGATTATGCAAATCCGCGACACGCGTGGAAAGGTCGGTTTGCGCTGATGCGCGTGTTCTCGGTCATTGATTAAATTATGATCTGGATCGTACGTACGTCCAGCGTGGTGAACGACTGATCTGGGTTCGCAACCGGGGCTAGGAGGCATTAATTAAATTCTACGCGGCTCAGATTCACGTGGACGCGCGTGTCCGGTCGCGGCGCCGCGACGGTGGAGTATACGACGGCCGTCTGTCGGGCGCGATGCGCGATGCGCTCTGTATAAGGCGTCGTTCCCGATATTAATGATGGCAACGCATCGCTGGTAATGAACACATGCGCGACCTGTCCCGCCCACGTGCGAGAGTGGTAACGGATTATCCGGACGGCTCCGCGCTGTAGCGCGCGGATGATTGCTCTCGCGCGGATTTGCATGGCGAGGTTCCGATTCGTCTGTTCGGATGAAGATTCATCAGCCCGTCCCGAGAGAATCTGAATCCGTTCCGAGTTTGCAGTTAACGATAAGTTCCTTAAAAGGCGTAATCGGTGATACAATGACAAAAATACAAAAGTTTTGTTTTATACAACAGTAGACTGAGAAAATACACTTGAGACTTCATGTATTTGATAGATAACGGTGCAATCACATAAAAGCAAAGTAAAAACTCTTGTATGGATAGATCTGAAGATATCGATAATTTATTTTTTAAAGAACTAGTTGAATTTTTCAATACATATCAAACTACATATTTGGCTATTGTTTTATTTTATAATTATAAATACTTGAAATACTTTTATTTTAAAGCATTTATGAAAATAATATCGTTATAAAACTGATATTTAAAAAATCTGTTTCTTGAAAATATATTTGTGTCTCATAAAAAGTGCATGGATTACTAACTAAATAGAACTGATCTACTCACGTCTACGATTAGTATGAACTATGCGTAAGCTATACGTTTCTGCTTGGCGTCTGCCGATCCACGGTAAGATGAGTCGATCATTGCGGGTGATATCGCTTGCCACAAGGCATTCAAGTTCATTAAGTATCATTCAAGAACGGCCCTATTATACGCGCGCGCTCGGTAGGTGCGCGCAATTTCTTGGCGGTGTGCAATCCAACCGATTCATGCACTATGTCGGGATTACATTCGCAACATTTCGTTATTTATGTCCGATATTTACGATCTTCGATTCTTGGAATAATGTGGGATTGAGAAGAGTTCGACGTAGATAAGCGTTTATGACTGTAATGAAAATTACAGTGTTAAAAAAAACAGAATGCAGAAAATTTTTAATGGAGAATGAATGTCATCGTCTATACTTAATCCACTATAATTTTTAATTCTTGATTATTGAATTTGCGCGATTCCATGATTCGGCGTTGCATTCAGACTTGCTTTCAGACGATAAAAATAATTATGAAAGCTTCTATGATTTTAGAATCTGATGTCTAGAAAATGATTAATCGGTATTTGAATATGTTATATATCATTTCTCGTGTTTGCAATATTCTTGAGACGTTATACGAAATATAACGATCTTATTTTATTATTTTATATTGTATAAAATAAAAAAATTGCATTTTTACACATTTTAGATGAATACCTTTTAATATGTTTTAACAGATGTCTTACCATTAAAGTTTTAAAATTATTTTATAGTAAACTTGTAAGCTAGTACACATACATATTGTATTTAACACAATTTTAATACATTTCTAAAAAGATTTATCATAAAAGTTTTTTTAAATATGATTTCTACCAATGCAAGAGAGAGAAATAAGTAATACAGTAAACATTTAACTCCATTTAAGTTAGAGACATAAAATTAAAGAAGCACTTTTAACTTTTAAACACAAAAACGTATTGTGATAGGAAATTGTTTAAAACCAAATTTTTATTGCTTCTAAATTATTTAAAAAAATGTGTACTTGTAAATAACGAGTAAGTATACATATTTATACAATGATATCGGAAATCGTAGTTATCGTCAGTTAGTAATTCTGTATTACTCGCTGTAGGAAAATATAGAAACAAATTTATCTGTGATTTCATCTTATATTAGGTATACCGATCATTCCAATAACTTTTGTTTAAATATGACGAAACTGATTATAAATTTAGAAAAACAAAATTTTTAACAAATATTTATATTTTTATTAAAAATATCTTTGTCAAAACTTTTGAATTATAGTTTAAGATTCATAATTACTGTTATCGACAGCCGCTAATGTTGTAAATTATAATATAATGTACTTAAATTATATACACACTGCAGGTATATAAAGTAACATAATATCTTTTTGATATTTTGGAACTTTTTAACATCTCCTTCTTCTAATGTATGTATATTTTTTAAAACTAAAATATTTGCATACTTAATTCATGAATCGTGATTTGGTTGGTAAAGTATCGGTACTCGATAACTTAATTTTATTAAATAAATATAAGATTAACAGTTATGGGTGTCACATTCGTTAGTAATAAAACCAAAAATTAGAATTCTATCTTTTTATTATTAACTGGTAGAATTAGGTGTGTTCAGCATGTCTTTATTTTAACATTAAGAATATATCTCAATAAATATAATATGTGTTTAATACTGTATCTAATCTCTTTGATAAGACTTCCTAATAATAAATTTCCTGATATTCTTAACAAAGAGATTAGATAAAGAATATGTATAAAACATAATTATATCACATTCTTTTGTACCTCTTTATTATTGCAGGACAATTCAAAAAGTAATCAGAATATAATAATATAAGTTATAAGCTTTTGTGTAAGAAACTGCATTATGACGGAATACAAGCTCGTGGTTGTTGGAACTGGCGGTGTTGGAAAATCAGCACTTACTATCCAGCTGGTACTAAGTCATTTTGTTGAAGAGTACGATCCTACCATTGAAGACTCATATCGAAAACAAGTAAGCATATATTATTTTGCATTGAATAATTGTTAAATCCAACTGGCAATAAATATATTTTGATAATGCAGAAATCTAGGAGATTTAAAATTATTATAATTTTGCATCTTTTTAATTTTATTAAATACGTTTTAACATATGAATAAATACATTGTTACTTGTTAAGGTGGTGATCGATGATGAGACATGCATTCTAGATATATTAGATACAGCTGGACAAGAAGAATATAGTGCAATGAAAGATCAGTATATGAGAACAGGGGACGGATTTTTGTTAGTCTTTGCTGTAAACTCGGCCAAAAGTTTTGAGGTGAACATGTGAGGTGAACAATTTATTTAACTTACTGTTTTGAAATTACTGCATTGTACGTTAAACATTACAGGATATTGAAACGTATAGGGAGCAGATAAAACGAGTAAAAGATACTGAAGAAGTACCGATGGTGTTAGTAGGAAATAAATGCGATCTTGAGGACTTTTGGGCGGTAAATATGACTAAAGCGAGAGAAATCGCGCTACACTACGGTATGCCATTTGTGGAAACTTCTGCGAAAACGAGAATGGGTGTAGACGATGCATTTTATGCCTTGGTGAGCAAACACCCTCTCCTTTTTCTGTAGCTTTAAAGTGCTATAAATTTCAATTAGTGTCATAATACTGATTTTATATATTGAAAATGTTTCCGCGAAATATTACGTTTTCGTAAATACTTTTGAAATAACTTTGCTAAAAATTTCAAGTGATAAAGTTCCATCTTGTATTTTAGGTCAGAGAAATACGAAAACATAAAGAGTGCATAAATAAACCACCTACCAATAGTGGACACAACAAATGCCGTATTTTATTATGTTGTGTAAATACTAGGCAAATACGAAATAAAAAGGATGATTAAGTCAAATGATTGACTGTGTCCAGCAGAAGTTAGCGCTTGCTAAGCGCTTTGCGCTCATTGGATTATACTTTCAGATCTGTGCTGAAATAGAGCTATTCTTCTAGATCTATCCAATCAGCATAAAGCGCTTATTAAGTGCTAACTTCTGCTGAACACAGCCATTATCTTTAATTAATAAAACAAAATACTAGCGCCATATATGCAAAGAACTTCACAGGAAACGGGAGTTACTCTTGTTATATGAAATGTGTGTGTTAATAATGGTTAGAATTTAAAGAGATAAATAATAAACATTACATTAGAGATTGCACATTGTAAGCATTTAAAAATGGATATAAAAAATATTAAAGATAAAAATATTCGGTTTTCTAGAAGAAATTATTATTCAGATATTATTATGGGTAAGATTTCTCTATTACATTTGAGATCAAAGCAGGCTTGATTCTAAAGCATATTGATCACATTTAATAAGTCGACGAATCGCATAGGCATAAAACCAATTGGTCTACCAACTGCCTCGAGAAAAACCAACCTCGCGTCGCAAATTCTCACAGAACGACATAGCCCGATTGTAAAGGACATTAAAATACAAAATACGCAAACTATCCTGGGCGCAGCCGAACGATGGATGACTTTTCCTGAAGACAAATCTATTGTACGTAAGCACACGATTATGCAAAAGTAATTCGATTAAGATTTATTTTACATAAAGCGCCTGATGTAATAAATGCATAAATTCTTGGTGTGCAATTCAATTTTGAGTGAAACCTATATCTAATATTTAATAATTCCCGAAATTTTTGTTTCTCTTTATGAATAAAGGCGTTTCCGGCGGAAACCTTTCTACCGAAAGTGCAAATGGCATATACTGTCGACCCAAATATTTTACCGCGCAACGTTGAAATGGAAAGAAAGCGAAGAGAATACCAAAATCTCAAGATAGAAGACACTTTAAAAGCGGAAGGTGTCAGGCCATACGACATGTTACCACTTGAGAAAATTTGTCCGCTACTTTCTTATGAACAGAAATACGATTTGTATTCCAAGGCAAGTTACTTACCTTTGGAACTGTTTGACGATGAGGAATATGATTGTAGGTGAGAAATCTGCTGTTATACGATATGAAATATATTACTGTAGTTCTAGAAAATAACACAAGAGAAGCTCCTTTAAACATAATTTCGCACTTGGTATGTTTCCACAGTAATACATTTTTAGCAGTTTTATATTAAAGAACTAAATTTGATATAGCTAATACTGCATATATCAAAGTAAGTTGCTACTTTTGTACCGTGTTACGTAGAACTTCTGCTTTAAAGAAGCACCATTGCAAATTTTATATATCAGAGATAACTTATTAAAATTTAAAGTGAAATTGAATCGTATAATAAAAAAACTTTAACTTATATAAATTTAAATTTACTTAGAATAAATAATGTCTATTTGTTTTACAATTTTATTTTTAAATTAAGAATTTATATTCTCTCTATAAGCGGTATTTTTTTACGATTAACTTATATAATTTATATTTAATCAAAAGTGTCCAACAAAGTATCTTTTGATAATTGAATATATGAAACTGTTTTCGTAATTATTAGCATATAGTTTTTATTTTGCAATTTGACAGAACGCCAGAAGAATGGATAAATCTAGGCATCATCAATGGTGTTCGTTATCCGTTACCAGCCACAGTATTTGTCGAAAGGATTTCAGATAAGAAATTGATATTTGATCGCGATGATAATACACTAAATAATCTGTTTGGTTGGTTTCACGCCGCTGTTACGGATTACGATAACAAAAAGAAAGTGTTCGCTGTTCTCACTTTAGACGGTCTTAAGCGAAAATTTCTTCTGCCTAGAATATACGTCAAATTTTTCGGAGAAGATCCGAGAAAATTTGCCAAGAGAGTAGCTGCTGCTATCAAACGAAGACAATTCGCAGAGACTAGTATTAGGTTAATTTCTTAGATCAAAATATTTTGTAATCTTAATATTTTTATATTATGCACCATACGACTAAGAAAATTAATTTGTGGAGATAAAGTTATATTTCCACGTAGAAAACTAAGTAAACTTATAAAGTAATACTAAAAATAAGGAAAATATTTTTTCCATCATTAGAGTCTACTTTAACAATCGACGAAGAAAAAATATATCATCTTTTAAACTTTATTATAAGACCTGAATAAAAAGAAAACTTAGGATATCATACATAAAAATGAAAAATAAATTTTAGATTGCTTACATTCTTTAGTAATTCTAACAAGAAATCTTTTGAATTATTTGAATGTTCCTCACAATAACTAAACCATATAATTATATGTAGGTATCACTTTTATTTGGATTGCATGCTGGTGAAAGGTATGCCGATGCTAGACGAAAAGCAACAGGAAATCATAATTCTGTCGGCCACGCGAAAAGATTTCATGAAGTGTGAATTCAAGCATCTCTCGAGTGTAGGTATATTTTCTATGTATTTTTTACAGTTACAGATTTTTTTAATGTTTAGTTAATGGACGAAGTTGTTTTGGAATATCGCCGCGTTATGTGCGACCTTATGTGGAGATCTCTTATACAAAAGCAACCGGAAATATTTAATTTTATTTTGTGGAATGGAATTGAGGACACCTACGAGCCTAAGATACCAGAAACGGGAAAGTTATGCACCGAAATGGAAGACTTTGCGGTATTTATAAAGAATTACGTACATTTGTGGTAATATGCATTTTATTTAAAAAAAATTAATTTAATAATTGTAGAGAACCAAAAATGTTTTTCACTGGATAGTTTTATACGTTTTACCGGAAGTATACGAGGCTATGGAATGCGTAGTAATCGAATGCATGAACATATCGAATATGAATCTCTTTGTCTCGAATTACGGAAAATCTATGCACTTGTCAGAGTTTGAGTCGCAACAGCAACAAGAGACTGGTACAGTGATAAAATATCTGAAAGAAACGTGGTTAGAGAAGATTACGCAGTCGGTCAGACTATGTTTAAGAGATGTCGAGAAAGAATGGTTCGAGCTCAGGCAAAATGATTACGATGTAATGAAATTGAAACGATTTATGGATCTTATTGTGTATCGAATGCAGGTACCTTAAAGTAATAGACTTAGTAAAATTGTTTCTACTTTAATGCACTGATTACACTTAATAAAATTGTGTTTACTTTTATGCATAATAAAATATATGTTTGAATGCGATTTATTTTAATATATAGCTCTAATTAAGATCATGGTTGTGACTAATGAAATAATAAATGAAAAATATTTAAAAAAATAGAGATTATAGTCTATGTTAAGAAAGGCAAAGAAAAACATTTAGTGTAAAATAGAGAATTAAAAAACCAATTTAAGCTCATATTTAAAATTATACACAAAATTATAAATCAATATAAATTTTATAAAATACAATTGTTCGACATATCTATGCTTTGTCTACAAATTATTGAATTTTATATTGATTTCATAAACTTCATATTTATGAATTTATAAAAGTTTAATATTTTCTAAATACTATGTAGCAATGATTATATTGGCAATATTAATTTATTTCTTTCTTGGATTGTTTGGTGTTTCTTGTTAGGATGCTCTTCAGGATCTTGTGAAGAAATCGATTATCTTGTACTTAGAAATATTGGAAACTCCAGCTCTTTGCATATCAAATGTGGATGAAAATCTTATATGGGGTGATGATCTCGTAAATACGCATTTTAAGTGTCCAACGAATCCTATCTTTAATATCGATATCGCTATGAATGATGAAACAGCTTATTATTTAACGGATCTTGAATCATTTGAGGTATGCACACATTATTTTCTTTTATTAATTTATAAACTAAATTACTTATTTATAAATTTTTTATAACAATCAAAGAATATTTAAAATATAGTACGCGTATTTATCTCTAAATTAATTAAATTCCATTGTTAATTTGATAAGTTAATTTTACTATAAATTGTGTGTCTAACTACAAAATGTTTCATAAATTAATTTATTCCCAGAATATTATCGTAGCCATATTAGATAGCTCTTTGAGCCAGTGCCATCAAATTAGACAAGTTCACCCTTTCTTGTTACCCTTCCTGAAATTTCCCAAAGATATGTATCTTAGCTCAATTGGCTTATTAGACAAGCAGGTTTGCGAAGTACGAGAACGTCTCAGGATGGTTTATCAAAAGTCCATAATACCCCTAAAGGCATATGCTCGCGAGTATCAACAATATTTAGGAATTTACAAATTGGATGTCGAGAAATACGTGGAGTGAGTTCAGATGTTTGCTTCAGGGTATATAAAAACCTATTTAATTGGATTTCTAAATTAGAAGAGAATGCAATTAACACAGCAGAAAAATATCAATTATCTTTTTGCTTCCTCATAGAGGGAGTTTTTGTGAAAAAAATTTTTGGGCAATTTTCTTGCCAATGTGTTGAGAATGTTCCAAAACGTCTGAAAACACATTTATTACCAAATGTCTGTGTGTTATCATAACTTTTTTGCAGAGATTTCAAAAAAGTAGGCCACACTGCCGCAGAAGTTAGAGATGAAGTGTCCTTCCACTTTAAGATGAAATCGATCCTCGAGCTCTCACTGCCGAAGGACATTGTCATAGGACCTTTCTGTGTGAATGTCTGTCCTCTCAAGGAATTTCTTATACAGAAACGACAGAATTGTTGCACGCAGTTGCTTATCATGTTTACCGAGAGCTTAAGAACAAAAATCGATGTCATTATGTCCAGTTACATGCAGATCAGAACGAGGCTTAGGGTAACGCTACGTAATATTGAACACTTGTTCGAACAGCAGGATTGGATGGACGCTATACCAATGACAGTGAAAAATCTAGACGAAATGGTGCAAAAGCTAAAGTATGAATACGATATCCTTGATCATTTCTGGTGGAATCTATCCGATGAGGATTTTAAAGCCAAATGGCAAGCTATCGGCTTTCCTCGGCAAGTGCAATTATGTGTAAGAATTGCCAATTATTTG